AAAAAAAAATGTTGGATCAGGCTGTGTCATGTTAATCAAGATCTTCTAGATTTTGCCATTGAAGATTTCAGTATTTCTCAATCTATATACCAGGATGAACTTAGCCACATCGAGAGGTAATTTGACTATCATTTTTTCACTTGATTTCTTTATGTTTCTATAGATTATTTGGATTACTTTTTGGGTTGACAGGTGGGAGAAAGAAAACAGGCTGCACCAGCTAAGATTTCTACGCAAGGGGAGTCTAATAAATTGTTACCTCTCTGCTGCTGCAACCATATCCGCTCATGAATTCTCTGATGCTCGCATTGCATGTGCGAAAAGTATTGCGCTCGTACTTGTTATTGATGACTTCTTTGATGTTGGAGCATCCAAAGAAGAACAAGAAAACCTCATCGCATTAGTAGAGAAGTATGTTTCCCTTAACTTGATTTCTTTGTCTACACTTTCTGAAACAGCGCTGGTGTATTATGCTTTGCAAGTGAGTCATCCTTCCTGTTTTGCCAATGGTTGTCTTAGGTGGGATGACCATCAAAAAGTTGAGTTCTACTCTGAGCAAGTAGAAGTAGTATTTTCTGCTTTTTATACCACAGTTAATCAGATTGGAGAAATGGCTTCTGCAATACAAAACTGCGATGTTACAAAGCACTTGGATGAAACAGTGAGTTTCTTGTGTTACCTTCAGATTCTGAGATACGTTATGTTGAATTCCAAGTTGATAAGTACTACATGGCAGCTGCGATTAGCTACATACAAAATAAGTAAGAAAAACCGTGTATTAAAAATTGCATACTCATCTGCAGTGGCTACATTACATGAGGTCTGTGGCAACCGAGGCAAAATGGCAACGGAATCAATATGTGCCAACAGTTGAGGAATACATGACAGAACCGCTTACCTCATACGGGATGGGCCCGATTATGCTCACATCACTGTATTTTGTCCAAAAAAATCTCCTGAAGCACATTATCAAAGACCCGGAGTACAGTGAGTTGCTTAGACTAATGGGTACATGTGGCCGTCTCTTGAATGATACTCAAGGCTTTGAGGTATTTTCCGTTCAATCTCTAACAAGTATTCATAGCAATGGGTTATCACTGCCGTACGTGCAGATTAATTTGACCCAGGGTAGTTCCTAATAAATGATCTCGTTGATGCAGAGGGAATCCAGAGATGGAAAACTGAACATCATCTCACTGCTTGTTCTTCAGAGTGGAGGTTCCATGTCCATAGAAGCTGCTCAAGAGGCCACACAGTTGTCAATAGCCTCATGTCGGAGAGACCTGCTAAGGATGGTTGTTAGAGAAGACCGTGTTGTTCCTAGGCCATGCAAGGAGCTGTTCTGGAGGTTTTGTAGGACAGCTCACTTGTTCTACTGTCACACCGACGGATTTACGTCGCCCAAGGAAATGCTCTGCACAATGAATGCAATATTCACAGAGCCACTCAAACTTCAAACTACCAGTCCTTCTTTTGATGTTCAATCAGAACAATAATCAAGGATTCCTTAATTATGCTATTATCCTGATTATATATGGATGACAAGGAAATATACCAAGCGGGGAGAGTAAATGCGACAGTAACCATATGAACCTTACAAATGAATCACTCACCGGTATCTGGTTGATATGCATGCCGCCAGTTAAAGGGTAGGAATTCTTTTTTTTTTTGCGGGGGAGGGTAGGAACTCAATAAGTAAATGACACCGGCGGTCCGAGAACTTGCGTTGCGGGTGCACTTAAGTCACGGTACTTGCAAACTGGAAAAACCCATCATAGAACATGCATTACTGGTGCAGATAGGTCACACAGGTCATCTGAACCGGCCAGCGGCCCGGTTTTCTCCCTCTAACGGTCAAGCGCGATAAATTTGTTCACGACTTTAAAAATATATATGATTCGTGACTTTAAAAAAATGTTCGTGAACGATAAATTTGAAAACTATTTGTTCACGACATTAAAAAAATGGTCGATAAATTTGAAAAATATTTTTGATTCGCGAACATTTTTTTAAAGTTGTGAACATTAAAAAAAATTTGTGATTCATGACTTTCAAAACAGTTCGCGAACAATAAGTAAAAAATATTTATTAAAACTATTTGTGATTTGTGACTTTAAAAAATTGTCCACGAACAAAAAAATTGAAAATGCTTGCGAACGATAAATTTGAAAATGTTCGTGAATGATTAATTTTAAAACTATTTGTTCACGACTTTAAAAAAATCGAAAATGATAAATTTGAAAATGTTTGCGAGCAATAAATTTGAAAATGTTCATGAACGATTAATTTGAAAAATATTTGTTCACAACTTTAAAAAATGTTCGTGAATGATAAATTTGAAAAATATTTGTGACTCGCGAACATTTTTTTTAAGTTAGATTTCAGAAAATGTTTGTGATTCGCGACTTCAAAAAAAAGGTTCTCGAACGATAAATTAAAAAATACTGCAACGGGGGTACAAGAAGATGTGCCAGATGATGCTGCAATGGGGGAAGCTGCTGAAGATTAAGAGGAACCAGACGATGTGCCCGATGATGATCTCCGCCGGGTCATTGTCGATCCAAGGACGCAATGCGAAAGTCAAAAGGAGAAGCTGAAGTTCGATCGCATGTTAGAGGATCACAAAAAAAAGTTGTACCCAATTATGAAGATGGCAACACAAAGCTGGGTACCGTACTAGAATTGCTGCAGTGGAAGGCAGAGAATGCTATGCCTGACAAAAGAATTGAGAAGCTACTGAAAATATTGAAGAAGAAGCTTCTAAAGGATAATGAATTACCCGACAGTACGTACGCAGCAAAGAAGGTCGTATGCCCTCTAGGATTGAAGGTGCAGAAGATACATGCATGTTCTAACGACTGCATCCTCTACCGCGGTGCGTACGAGGATTTGAACGCATGCCCGATATGCGATGCATTGCGGTATAAGATCAGATGAGATGACCCTGGTGATGTTGACGGCGAGCCCCGCAGGAAGAGAGTTCCTGCGAAGGTGATGTGGTATGCTCCTATAATATCATGGTTGAAACGACTGTTCAGAAACAAAGAGCATGCTAAGTTGATGTGATGGCACAGTGAGGACCGTAAGAAAGACGGGAAGTTGAGAGCACCCGCTGACGGGTCGCAGTGGAGAAAAATCGAGAGAGAGTACTGGGCTGAGTTTGCACGTGACCCAAGGAACGTATGGTTTGGTTTAAGCGTGGATGGCATTAATCCTTTCAGGGAGCAGAGCAGTAATCACAACACCTGGCCCGTGACTCTATGTATGTATAACCTTCCTCCTTGGATGTGCATGAAGCGGAAGTTCATAATGATGCCAGTTCTCATCCAAGGCCCTAAGCAACCCGGCAACGACATTGATGTGTACCTAAGGCCATTAGTTGAAGAACTTTTACAGCTGTTGAATGAAAACGGTGTATGTGCGTGGGATGAGCACAAACAGGAGGAATTTAACCTGCACGCGTTGCTGTTTGTAACCATCAACGATTGGCCCGCTCTCAGTAACCTTTCAGGACAGATAAACAAGGGATACCACGCATGCACGCACTGTTTAGCTGACCCCGAAAGTATATACCTGGGAAGCTGCAGGAAGAATGTGTACCTGGGCCATCGTCGATTTCTTCCGACCAACCATCAATGTCGAAAGAAAGGCAAGCATTTCAAAGGCGAGGCAGATCACCGGAAGAAGCCCGTCATGCATACCGGTGATCACGTATTTGCTATGGTCAATGATTTACACGTAATCTTTGGAAAGGGTCCCGACAGACTAGCTGTTCCGAGTGACGCTGGGGGACACGCACCCATGTGGAAGAAGAAATCTATATTTTGGGACCTACCCTACTGGAAAGACTTAGAGGGCCGCTCTTCGATCGACGTGATGCACGTGACAAAGAACCTTTGCGTGAATCTGCTAGGCTTCTTGGGCGTGTATGGGAAGACAAAAGATACAGCTGAGGCACGGGAGGACCTGCAACGTTTGCACGAAAAAGACGACATGCCTCCAAAGCAGTATGAAGGTCCTGCCAGCTACGCTCTTACCAAGGAAGAGAAGGAAATCTTCTTTGAATGCCTGCTTAGTATGAAGGTCCCGACTGGCTTCTCGTCGAATATAAAGGGAATAATAAATATGGCAGAGAAAAAATTTCAAAACCTAAAGTCTCATGACTGCCACGTGATTATGACGCAACTGCTTCCGGTTGCATTGAGGGGGCTTCTACCGAAAAATGTCCGATTAGCCATTGTGAAGCTATGTGCATTCCTCCATGCAATCTCTCAGAAGGTGATCGATCTAGAAATCATACCAAGGCGGCCGCGGGAGAGCAGGTGGCCGGCGATGGTGGCCTCGTAGAAGGAGCCGGCGAAGCCCGGGTCGTCGCTGCGCACCTCCACCTCCGCGCCGACCGACAGAAGTATGAACTCGTCGTCCTCCTCCGACTCATCGTCCGCCTCGCCCTCATCGTCCGCCTCCACGCCGACCGGCAGCAGGAGCTCCTCGTCCGATGATGAGGAGTCGGAGGGGGTCGGGGGGCGCCTCCTGGCACGGCCGCGGCCCATGGGAGCTGGCTGCTTTGGCGCTCGTCGATTCCTTGGAGTGTGAGGGGGAAGCTAGCGATGTGGGAGGGTGGCGGAGGCAGCGATGTGGGATGGCTGCGCCGGGTGGTGTGGTGTGGTGTGAGAGCGACCCACTTCCGAGGTGGGGCGGGGGTGATTGTGGTGGACAGCACGGCAATAGTTGACGCGAGGCGGGACAACAGAGACCAGAAACCGGCAGAGGTTGTGCGTGTGGTCAATGTCACCGCTCCCCTGTTTCATCAATTACTACCAGTTACTCCTTCTGGTTAAGAGCAAGTACAATAGGTCAATAGCGTCTAGTCAGCCAGCTGCAAGCCATTACACGTCAGAAAAAATCTAGCTGGAGGGAAGAAAAGACAGGAGAGAGAAGGGAGCGGGCGATTCACTCGTCGCCCGGCTACAGCGCAGTACTCAAGAGAAAGAACTGCATGTATGGGTTAAAAGCTCAAGGGCAGGTCGGTAGCAGAGATGCTAAGAAACGACGATTCGGGATCTCAGGCATGGCGACATTGGTGTCATCGTGTCTGAGTTCCTTGATCTCTGGAGAAGGCTGCAGAGGCACGCAGGCATAATTCAAGAAGGAGTACAGGACAACATTCGGTGGACCGCTACAGGCAATGGGGTGTACTCCACCAGCTCGGCCTATGCGATTCAGTTCCAAGACCCACCGGACTGCAGGTACAGATCGACAATTTGCAAGCCATGGGCGCCGGCAATGATGAAGATCTTTTTCTGGCTACTTCAACATAACCGTCTGTGGTGCAACGATCGGCTTCAGCGGCGTGGATGGTCAAACAGATACTTCTGCCAATTCTGTTTCCGCTATCTGGGGACTTCAGAACATCTGTTCTGGTCCTGCCCCTGCTCCCAGAAGATCTCGGCAATGACATCACGTTGGCGTGGTTGCCAAGCCCTCAACCTAGCCTGTTGGGCGGCGACGCCTTCAAGCTCAGTCACGATAAATATGATCACGCATAAGGCGCAGCCAGGGAGCCAGAGGCAAGCCATCCAATCAATGATTATCCTGTTATGTTGGGAGATTTGGCAAGAAAGGAACAGCTGCATTTTTCGCAGCAAGGAAGCAAGCCCAGCAGATGTCATTGCCAGAATCCGGGCCACCGTTGAACTCTGACGCTGAGTGGGAGCAAAGCACTTCGAGCGCCCCTTCGGGGAAAGCGATGCGAGAGGATAGACCTACACTATGAACCGGGCCATCTTTTTCTCCTCCTTTTTGTGTAATCTTTCATCCACCGATCACTTGATCAACCATGTTTTCCGCTCTCTCCTTCCAAATCAATGAAATTCCACCACGATCTGGATCTTTCAAAAAAAAAGATACTCGTACCATTAGTTCAGTGTTCGCGACGTGTTGGTTTTTACCAACCTTTTTTTTTCTAAACTTTATCATACTTTTACATCTACACAATACCCACATATATGTTGCGCGAATTTAGAATTGGGTTCATCCATCCTAGGCAGGCATGCCGGCATCTACTTTAGGGGTGGGGAGGGGGAGGGGGGACAGGCTCGCCCACGATCTAACTTAGGTGTGTGGGAGCGCTGCAATTTACCCGGAAAAAAAATTCCCTCACTAGGGTGAGAGGGATGGCCATGGATGGCGGGTGAGGGGAGGCCTGTGTGGCTAAGATGGCGCGGGAGCGCCACCGGCCGTGAGCGGCGCAGTTCGACGGAACGTGGGTGTAGTTTCAGGGAAGAACATGAATAGGATATGGGGCATTAGGTTGAAGAAAATAATCTGGCCGTTCATTTTGCATCCGGCGGCTCAGACAGGAATATCCGCATGATATACAGTAATGTGCATGATCTATAGTAACGCACTGTATAACATGCATTCTAGAACTAAATTTACAAAATTATCAATCCACACTAAGCATATCAATCAATGGATTACTAACCCTAAAATT